CTTTCTTTGCCGTGTGGAAGGAATCGTCTCTGGGTACATACTGGATATCAAAGACGAGCGTTGTGTTGGGCAGAATCACCTTGTCACTATTAATACGGTAGACTGCGTACTTGAAGGCCAATTCGGTTGCTGAGTCCCTTTGATCCTCGGTGAATATCGCCCCTGTGGACAAGGTAAGAGAGAGAGATGTGGTGAGACGGATAGTGATGGTGATGGTGGTGAAGAGTGTGGTGATAGTGAGTAATAAAAGTTGTGGTTGGTGTGGTGATGAATGTAGTAGTTGTAGTATTAGTAGTAATGGTAATGATGAATATGATGAGATGATAATAATGATGATAATAATAGGCTAATAGTAGCAGTAATTATACTAATAATTGTAATAGTTATAATAATAATGATTAAAATAATGTCAATAATGATTATAATAGTAGTTGTAGTAGTAATGATAATAATGATGATAACAATAAGAATGATAACGAAAATGACAAAGATAATGATAATAATGATAATAATAAAATTATGATTAACAACAATAAAAAATATGATGATGCAGATCATAACAATTACAGTGATAATATTGATAATGATAATAATAACAACAATAAAAGTTATGATAATGATAGTGAGAATATTAATATTAATGGTAATGATGATGATGATAATAATGTAGACAATAATAGCGATAATATCAATAAAGATTACGATAATAATAACAATGATAATGATACCTATAACAGTAACAACAAAATCACTAATAACAATGACAACAACAACTATAATAATCATAGCTAGTAATGATAATAGTGATGATGATAACCATCCTATTATTGATAATAACAATAGTAAATCTAGCAATAATAACAGTTTACATAATTCGCAATATCTGTCCCATTCTGAGTCACAAACACACAGGAAAAATACGTCTCAATTTCCATCACGGAATTCTATAACTATTAAGATTAATTTTTGAAACAGTCTATGGTCCTTAAGGTGTTTTTTAAAAGGTGACATAATTTCGCTGTGGAGTCATTTGCAATTGAGAAGCAGGAAGCCATGCAAGGATTTTTTTTGTGTGTCTTTCTCTCTTTCTTTCTTACTTTTTCTTTCTCTGTTTCTATTTTCTCTATATATACATCTGTCTGCCTGTCTGCTTGTCTATCTATCATTCTCAATCTATCTTTCTTCATCTCTTTCTTTCTCTCTCTCTCTCTCTCTCTCTCTCTCTCTCTCTCTCTCTCTCTCTCTCTCTCTCTCTCTCTCTCCCAATAAAAAAGAGAGACAAGATCAGATGGACTATTCGAAATGTACATATCTTTGTAGATACGTGAAAAAGATGGCATATATATATATGTATATCTATCAATCAATTTGTATCTTTATTTCAATTTCTTTCTTTCATAATAAAGTCACTCATCTTCTATTCATCAAACCAAAAAGAAATATAATGACATTTTCTGGTATATGCAACGATTATACTGAGACTGTTACTGAGGTCTGGTATACCACCCCTCCCCCCACCTGTACCCCCTACCCTCCATTTTTCTTCCCTTTAACCTTACCTATATACCTGATATGTCCATTCCTCCTACCCCTTTATCCTACCCTCTTACCCCATCCCCATACCCCCTCCCTTCCCTCTTTTACCCACCTCTTCCCCTACCCCTCTACCCTCCTTTACCTACCCCTTCCCTACCCCTCTACCTTCCTTTACTCACCCCTTCCCCCCACCCCTTCCCCACGATCCCACTTCCTCTACTCTCCTTTACGCCTTCCCCCATTCCCTCCTCACTCCCTACCCCTACTCTACCCTCACCCCTTCCTCTACCCTCCCCTACACCCCCCCCCCCTCATTCTATCCTCACTCCCTACCTCTACTCTACCCTCACCCCTTCCTCTACCCTCCCCTACCCCCCCCCCCATTCCCTCCTCACTCCCTACCCCTACTCTACCTCTCCCCCTTCCTGCACCCTCCCCTACACCCCCCCCATTCCCTCCTCACTCCCTACCCCTACTCTACTCCCTCTTCCCCTACACCCCCCCATTCCCTCCCCACTCCCTACCCCCACCTCTTCCTCTATCCTCCCCTACACCCCCCCATTCCTCCCCACTCCCTACCCCCACCATCCCTACACCATTCCCTCCTCACTCCTTACCCCTACTCTACCCCCCCTCCCCCCCACCCCCACCACACACACCTTTATCCCCAAGGAGACAGAAACTATAACTTGTCAATTCTGTGTCATTTGCATAAGGTAATTAGAAACAAACACGTGAAGACTTGTGTCAACAGGAGAGTAATGATTGAAGAGACTTATCACGAAGGTGGAGGGGGTAGTAGGGGGGGGGGGGTGAGAGGGAGGGGGTGAGGGAGGGGAGTGGGGTGGGTGGAGAAAAAGAAGGATAGAAAATAATAATGATGATGGTAATATTAATGATAGTGATGATAATAGTAACAGTTATGATAACAGTAATAATAATGATAATTAAAAGAATGATAACAGTAATGATAACAACAACAACAACAATAATAATAATAATAATGATAATGACAATAATAACAATAATAACGATAATGATAGTAACAATGATGATAATCTATTGTTTATCCCCATACCTCTCTGGTTTTATACCCCCTCCCCCTCTTTCTCTTTCTCTGTCTGTCTCTCTCTCTTCTCTCACTCTCTCATTTTTTATCTCTCTTCCTACTCTCCCTCTACCCCTTTCTCTCCCTCCCTCCCTCCTTCTACCCCCCCCCCCTTCCCTTCCCTCCCAAGATTTATCACCCTCTCACTTATTCCCCCTTTTTTATCCCCTCTCCTCCTCCTCCCCTTCTCCCCCCCTCTCTCCTACCCCTTTCTCCCTTCTCCCTTTCTGTTACAAACCATTACACTTCTTATATAACTTCTGAGATTGTAGACAAACCTTAGGCTTTGTAATTAGTGAAATAATTAGGGTGTTTCCGCTGCGTTAATGAGTAAATGGGTTAATAGCTTTTTTTTTTTTTTTTTTTTGAGAGAGAGAGAGAGAGAGAGAAAGGGGGGGGGGAGGAGAGGGAGAGAGAGAGAGAGGTAGGGAGGGAGGAAGCGAGAGAAAGGAAAAGAGAGCGAGAGAGAGAGAGAGAGAGGAAGGGAGGGAGGAGAGAGAGAGAGAGAGAGAGAGAGAGAGAGAGAGAGAGAGAGAGGGAGGAAGGGAGGAAGCGTGAGAAAGAAAAAGAGAGAGCGAGAGAGAGAGAGATGGAGGGAGGAAGAGAGAACGAGAGAGAGAGAGAAAGAAAAAGAACAGAACCAGACAAAGAGGTCAGGGAGGAAAGAGAGACAAAACGGAAAGAAACCGAAATTGAAGAGAGATAGATTGACTAACACACACACACACACAAGAACCTGTCTCCTACCATGAACCCCCCTTCACCCCCAACCCCCAACCCCCCCATCTCCACCGCCATTTCCACCTTCCTCTCCCCTCATCTCCTCCCACCCCCCTTCCACCCACCTCTCACCCCCCCCCCTCATCTCCCCACACCTCCCCCCACAATTCCTCCCTTCCTCCCTCCTCTCACCTCCTTCCCTTCCTCCCTTCCTCCATCCCCCTCCCCCCACAATTCCTCCCTTCCTTCCTCCCCCCTCCCCCCACACCTCCTCCTTCCTTCCTCCCCCCTCCCCCCACACCTCCCTTCCTCCCTCCCCCCCTCCCCCCACCTTCCCGAAACCCCTTCCCCCCCCAACACGGTAATTAGTAAGAGCGACATGGCGGAAATGATTCAGAAGACACCACGTCGGGCTCACTTCCCTTGCCTCTCCTTCGCAGGTGGGGGGGGGGGCAAGAAGGAAGAGGGAGGGAAGAAGGAAGAGGGGAAGGGGAGAGGGGGAAGGAGGGAGGGGGAAGAAGAAGGGAGGAAGGAGGGGGAAAGGGGATGGGAGGAGAAGAAAGGGGAAGGGGGGGGGGAGAAGGAGGGGGAAGGGGGAGGGGGGAGGGAGAAGGGGGAAGGGGGAAGAGGTTGGGAAGAAGGAGGGGGAAAGGAGAGGGATGAAGGAGGGAGGGAGGAGGGAGAGGCAAGAAGGATGGGGAAGAGAAGAGAGGGAGAAGAAGGAGGGGGAAGGGGAAAGGGGAGGGAACATTCCCTTCCTGCTTGTCTCCTCCTCCCTTTCTCCTCCTTCCTCTATTCCTTCTTTCCTCTCTCCCTCCCCTTCTCCCCCTTCTTCTATTCCTTACCTCCTCTTTACTTTTTTTCCTCCCTCTCTTTCTCCTCCTTCCCCTTAGTCTTTCCCTTCTCCCTATTTCCTCCTCCTCCTCCCTTTCTCCTTCTTCCTCTATTATCTCCCTCCTCTCTACCCTCCTCCTCCCTCCCTTTCTCCTCCATCCTCTATTCCTTACCTCCTCTTTACTTTCCTCCTCCCTCTCTTCCTCCTCCTCCTTCTATTCCTTCCCTCCTCCCCCTCTTCCTCCTCCTCCTTCTATTCCTTCCCTCCTCCCCCTCTTTCTCCTCTTCCTTCTATTCCTTCCCTCCTCTTTACTTTCCTTCTCCCTCTCTTTCTCCTCCTCCTTCTATTCCTTTCCTCCTCCCTCTCTTTCTCCTCCTCCTTCTATTCCTTCCCTCCTCCCCCTCTTTCTCCTCCTCCTTCTATTCCTTCCCTCCTCTTTACTTTCCTCCTCCCTCTCTTCCTCCTCCTCCTTCTATTCCTTCCCTCCTCCCTCTCTTTCTCCTCCTCCTTCTATTCCTTCCCTCCTCCCCCTCTTTCTCCTCCTCCTTCTATTCCTTCCCTCCTCTTTACTTTCCTTCTCCCTCTCTTCCTCCTCCTCCTTCTATTCCTTCCCTCCTCCCTCTCTTTCTCCTCCTCCTTCTATTCCTTCCCTCCTCTTTACTTTCCTCCTCCCTCTCTTCCTCCTCCTCCTTCTATTCCTTCCCTCCTCCCCTCTTTCTCCTCCTCCTTCTATTCCTTCCCTCCTCTTTACTTTCCTCCTCCTCTCTTTCTCCTCCTCCTTCTATTCCTTCCCTCCTCTTTACTTTCCTCCTCCCTCTCTTTCTCCTCCTCCTTCTATTCCTTCCCTCCTCTTTACTTTCCTCCTCCCTCTCTTCCTCCTCCTCCTTCTATTCCTTTCCTCCTCCCTCTCTTTCTCCTCTTCCTTCTATTCCTTCCCTCCTCCCCCCCTTTCTCCTCCTCCTT